CGATCAGCTGCCTCCTGCACACCTCCCACTGGGGATGTGCCCGCAACCAAGGTACATGCCCTTGACTGGAATCGAACCCGGGACCTTTCAGTCCACAGGTCAACGCTCTATCCACTGAGCCAAACCAGTCACAGCTATTTTAATAGGGCAGTGCTGTAAATGAGCTATACATAGAGTTTAAATGGAATTTGGAACTCGGCTGGGTGCCAAAAAATCTTTTCAGACCTAAATACACACTTTTTACTGGACCCAGCAGTGCTCATTTACACCAAGACATTTCAAACCTGGGTGCTCCAGAGGCTAAGCACACAGCACGCTGAGAATCTGAGTCTGTGTGTTCTAAGGTCAGCACTGACAGACTCAAGTTATAGGCAGGAGAGCTCACCTATAGGTAATTTGTTAATGGTTAAGTTAACAAAGCAATGCCATATAACCTCATAGAAAGAACCTCGGAGAAATTCTGTTAAGTATCAAAGACAACATATAATGCTCCAGAATTGCTATAAAATAACACTAGCAACAAAATTGGTTTAAATAGAAGGTTAAAAAGTCAAGGTCGCAGCTGTAACCTGCATATTCCAGCTGTAGGTCTCCTGGATTAGGGACAAAGATGGACTGAGTTGAATGGGATTAGGAGAGCAGAGAGTGGAACATGAGGGAGATAGTGAAACATCATCCACCAGGAGATGAACAGGCTCAACTGTTCAAAATTGACCTTAGGGTGTTCTTTTTTTCTTTAAAGAGTCCTAACAATCCTCAGGGCATTTTAAACATGGGAAAATTCAGTACTAGCTCTGCTGGATCACCCCTTACTCTTGGTCTCTCTCAGTGCAATTAAGATCTCATCACAAAGGCACAGCTTAGAAAGCCCATTGCTTTCAGCTAGTTCCTAATCTCCAGCTGCTCCTAGCAGGCTGAGACCTTCCTAAGACCCAGTGACCAGAAAGTAGTCAGGAGCATCCCACACATGGTTGACTGAGTATATACCTGGAACTTCCTCTGTTTGGGTGCAGGCCTCCCAAGTACACACAGGTTTGCAACAAAGATCTAAATGGGCTTTTCCGTTAACAAATGCCTGACCGGGTTGTATGGAACAGGCATCTCAGAGCATCTGATGTTACTTTTTAAAGCCCAGTTCCCATTATTTTCTTTGACATTTTGGGGGCATTCTCCTTGCAAACTGGCATATTCTCTGCTTTGCTTTGTTTCTGAACATGGATAAATTGGGTTCCCGGAACCCACCAGCAAGGTACCCAAGAATTCAACTCAATTCTGACACTGTTTACATGCAGATAGTATCAGATTCCATAAGACTGCTCCTCACCCCAATACACACACACACACACACACACACACACACACACACACACATTCAGACGCTGGACACAACCCCAGGACACAAACCCAGTTTACCTGTGCTTTTGAATGACCAGACACTGGTTGGAGGTTCCAACGACCCCCCTTCAACTCAGAATGCCAATCCCAAGTCCAAATTGTCACCTCTATTTTTGACTCACATACATATATCAGAAGTTCCTTTAACAGCCTCCTTGGGTTCTATTACTTTGCTAGAAAAGCTCACAGAACTCGGAGATACTAGATCACTGGTTTATTTTAAAAGGGTATAGCTCAGGGGCAGCCAGATGGGAGAGATGCATGGGGCAAGGTATATGGGAAGGAGTGCAGAGCTTCCATTCCCTCTCTAGGGAGCCACTCTCCCAGCATCTCCACATGCTCACAACCTGCAATCTCTCTGAACCCCATCCTCTTGGTATTTTACAGTCTTCTTTACACAGTCAGGCCATTGGCCAATGGCAATTGATTCAACTTCCAGCCTCTCTCTCCTCCCCATAGGTCATGGGTGGGGTGGGGGATGCAGGACTGAAAGTCCCATCCCTCCACTCACAAGGTTCCTTCCATTGGCAACCAATCCCCATCCTCAAGTGCTTTCCAAAAGGCAACTCATTAACATAACAAAAGATACCTTTTTCACTGTCAACACTTAGGAAATTCCAAGGCTTCAGGAAGCTGTGAGCCAGGAATTGTGGGTTAAGACTAAATATATATCAGAAATATATTCTGGTTGTATTAATGGCCAAATATATATTTCTTATGAATCACAATATTGCAATGCAGTTCAAACTGCATGGCAAGAAAAACATTTGACCAATAATAGAGCAACCTTTGACTGCCCAGTAACTTCTCACCAACATGCAAATCACTCTTGTTTCTTCATACTTAGACCTGTGGAAATCTTTTTGATAACATATACTCTCTCTCCAAAAGGTAATATCAAGTGGTAGGTATAAATATGAAAACAGATCATCATAATCTCCCCCAGCAAAGTATCAACTTACACCCCTCTCCCTAAAAATGACTTAATGGCATGAACAAGTGTAGGAAAGGGCCAAATTTACAACACATCAGTTCAGTAGAATGTGGGACTTAACAATTTAGCTTAACTGTTACTCTGTCTTTTCTTATGCTCCAGTCTCCTATCAAGAACATTCATCAGTCAATGGATGGTTAGAACATACACATGCGCAATAATTGACACAACAAGGGAAGACAGTAAGGCCATTCTGAAAAGGGTCAAGTAACAGTAAACACAAAAAAACCATTCCAAGAGTAAAAATATTCCTACCAGGAAAACCAAGCCCCCATGGAATGCTTTGATTATCTCAGAGGGCAAGTGGGCATTTGCCAAAGGTAAGTCCTTTATTCTCTATACTTCTTCAAAGACTTTAATACATGTAATTTTAAAAATCAAGAACATTGTAGATAAAAGAGAACCTACTAGCCATATTTGACAGATGAAGAAATTAGGAATAGAGCGGTCACTGGTAAGTCCAGGGCTGGTTAGTAGCTTGTTAAGAACAGAATCAACTCTACCATCCAGGCCTCTTTACTTCAAATCCAAGGTCTGTAAACCCACAACATACTCCTGTTCATCCTTGATCGTCAAAGAACATGTAACTCCTGAAAACTCTGCTTGGTGACCTTATCATGGAAGATGCCCTTGGCCATCACAAGAGCTAAACCCCCTGAAAACTCTGCCTGGAGGCCAGGTTGCATGGGGCACTTCCCCAGCCCACTTTTGCAAAGACCATCTGGCACTTGCTGTTGTTCTCCACTGCAGTTAACATTTCACACATTTCTTTCTTAAGCCTCTAGCATACCTGATGCAATAGTGGAAGAGGCAAACATAAGCAGAACTGAGACCAGTTTTAGGGCTAAGATAAGAACTTTCTAGAGGTGAGAAAAGAGCCAACAATCAGCTTCCAACTTACTTTGCCAAGTGGTTCATGAGCAGCTGTAACATCTGGCGGTTTTTCTCTGGGAGCCGATGAACAAGGCTGTGGATTTCAGACACCCGAGACTCCTGATTCTCCAGCTCTGCAAAAGGAGGAAGGAGGTAAAATTTGATGTGTCACAGCTAAATCAGTTTACAAGACAAAATCAAAGGAAGACAAAGGTTGGGTACTGACAGACTGAGGATTTCTCAAAGGATTAAGATCCATGTTCTGTGCCCTCATGGCTAGAATGACTAGATCTACAAGTGCTTGTAATGGTGCTTTCTGTAACAGAGTTCATTTACAAAAATGGCCATCAGAAAAATCAAGCCAAAATGATGACGTGATGAAATGGAACCAGTCAGCTGCACATTCAGAGCAGGAACAAACTGGGGAGCAGCTGACTACTTAGAGTGACGGCTTCATTTTCAAGGAAAGAAGGAACTTTATGCACTTGGCAAGTGATAAACAAATCGTGAACAACATTGCAAATGTCTCAAATATCAAAATAACACCTCAATGCAGCATCAGAGAAATCAAAGGAAATATCCAGTTATCCCCACACCATGTGTGACAGCCAGCCTGGCGAAGAAAAAAGAAATGGCACATCAATATGCGACTCTTTCTGCCAACCTGTAACCTAAAGCATGGCCTGCCATGTTCTCTTGGTTGAACTTGCATAAGTGGCTCCACTTCTCTGGGAGGGTTAATTAGAGAATGGGTGCTATGGGTTAGGAACATCTCTGAGGAAGAAATCACATAAACATCTTCACTTCTAGCTTTCTCCCATGCCTTTTCCCTCCATGTTTGAAGGGGGAAACTATGACTAGATAAGGCCATCAGAACATTAGATGCTACTACCAGTAAATTAGGCCAGTAGTACCTACCACAGTAACAAACTGTGACGGCTTAAAGGAAGCAGGGAGAGGCACAGGCTATTGTTGTAATAGCATTGTGGGGTTTCATGCCAGATTTAAATCTGACAATCTTCCTGCCCCTACAGGAGGCCTGCCTCACGTAGACAGATTCCAGTGTACCTAGGGTAGCTTGCATCTAATCCCTATGTATTTTAATACCAGTAGTATGACGCCAGGAACCTGGATGATATGGCTGAAGAATGATAGGAAGCTGTCAATAGAAGCCATGACAGAAAGCAGACTGGCGAGTTATATCAATGGTGTCTCTCATTCAGGGAAACACTTCCAATGCTCAATGTAGGTTAGGTGCGAAGTATGATTCATTCTGCAAAATGCTACTCAAGGGCTGGGGAAAAACCCAAGGAGTCAGAACTCCAATCATCAAAATTAGAAAGGCAAACCTGCTTTTCTCAACTTTCCCCAACCCTAAAAACACACTTTGGAAGTTTCTCTCCTCTATGGTAAATTCAGCGTAGCAGCAAGGCCCTTAGCAACTCTGATTTGGTTTCGTTTTTATTTCTGTGTCGAACTCATGAGCGTGTACGTGGGTAGTTTACATGCAGACAACAAAGAGTTAGATAATATTTATTTTGGGATACTGACTGTTTTTGAAGTAGAAAAATATATTCCCTTCCCCTTAAAACTGACAAAAAGAAAACTTACTTGCTGCTTTGATGAAACTTCTTTGAAACTGGTACATCATGAGTGGCCCTGGAAGCATTCTGGAATAAAAGGTTATATATTAGTTAGCTCAATCAAAACAATCAAATTTTTCTCTCTACATAGCAGCCAGGACATTGCCAAACTGTTCTCAAAGACAAAGATCATAGGGAAGCAACAGCAGCTCATCTGAGTCCAATTTAGTTTCCCTTCTAAAAGGTCCTGAGATTTTACCTGAAATTTTCATTCTCTCTCCTTTTTAGGGAAAGAATACAACTGTCTCATAGTCACAACTAGAAAAGAACTGGTACAAAAGCCTAGCACAAACCAAGAGATTTCCTTTTCAGTCAGTGACTCACCCATCAACAAGAGCATCTTAAAGCACGCCGGAAATACAGGCAACTGGCTAAACATTTGCAAAAACCTGTACTTAAACTCTCATCTCCCCAGCACCTTGTTATTACAATCAGCTCATCTGTAAATACTATGAGGGACTTTGTAGGTATTTTTGTGGCAAATTCACTGTGGAGTTCTGCTGGAGAATGCCAAAGAGCTAGAACCCCTAACACGAGGCATGAAACAATCAAATTTTACCTGCTATTTTTTGAAAATATGTTTTATGCTTACTGTCCATTAGTAAATCACTATCAACATGCAAAAAGAAGTGCTAAAGGCAAACCTCTACAACATGGTTTTGTATAAACTACAATGGCAGTATTGAGGGTATGAATATTTAATGAATATGTTAAACTGTAAACTTGAGGTTTTTTCTAATAGTCCAAATAATAAGCTTCTCAACAGACTATACATATACCTGGCTCAGATTTTATTTTATTCTCATTGCATCTCCTAATTCAACTCGTAGTCATCACTTACATTATATTTTATTCTTGACATCAAGATTCTTCTATCCATTCCTCAATAGCCAAAAATACCAGTTCCTTTCCTCCTTTGCTTTTGAGACAAGGGCACCTTTATAAAACCTAGACACCCCCAACCCCACCTTCCTATGTAAGAACTACAGTTAATAACTATAATATGCCTACCCTTCAAGAGCAGCATAAATTTCAATCTAGTCCTGAAATTGAGATGCAGATAGCTAGTCAATCACCCACTCCCTTAATAAGTGAGGGAGGAGTAGGAAGGTAGCAGTAATACCACATATATTATTACAGGAAAACAGTCTCTTCCGCAATACAGTGATATCTTCCAATCCCCGCTGAAGGAGTCAAAAAGGAGTACTGCTAAGTTCTCATTTTTAAGGATCGATGTCAGCAATTTATTCAATCTGCAATGCACAAATCTATCAAAATACAGAGGGCATGTAATCATGCATTCGCAACAGAATGGGATGGGACTCCTTGTGTTTTTAATAGAGTCTTCAGGGATTTCAGGAAATACCATATTTTAGGTTCTGTTAAAGGCTAATTGTCATCGTAGCTTCTCATAAAAAACAAAGCTTCCTAAAATCACTCGTGGCACCACTGCACAATGGCAACCCATCAACTATGGATGATTTACAATCGAAGTGACCAGCTGAGCTGACTACACCCACACCTAAGCTGTTTCCACATATCAAACACCCACCCAACAGTTCTCCTGAGGCTGAAAATAAAACTGCTTTCTTCCTGATGGCCTGATAACAAGCTGGCACCCTGCCCTGCAAATGGAAAGTCCCTACCTTAGGTAGGTCTTCAAAGCACTAGTGATGGTCTTGATCTCCCATTCCGCACAGATATCCGTTTCTGTTTCAGAAGCTGTTTTGGGGTCTAAAACGAAGAAAAGACAATGTGAGAAGTGGAGCAGAAAATACGGCTAAGAAACAGGCACATATAAAAACATTCAGCCTCACTACTAACCAAAGAAATCCAAGTTAAAACAAAATGACACCTACTTTTTTGCCAATTAAATTAGGAAAATGTTTAAAAATCCAAATGTCTATTGCAGCAAGAATGCAGTGAAACGGATCCTCTCATAACCTGCTGGAGGCAGTAGAAATAAATTCAGCATTTGAAAATCAATTTGGCAACAGTTACCAAGAATTATAAAAATGTTCATATCACTTGAACTGGTAATCCCACTTCACACAATCTATTCTTAGGAAATAAGATAAGGCATGAGAAAAGTTACAGAATACCCTGAAAATGTTTAACACACTTAAATGTCCAATAATAGAAAAATGATTAAGTCAATTATGGTAGATCTACTTAATGGAATATTATGTTGCTTTTGCATGATAATGATGGCTCCTGAGCAATATGAAAAATGATTGGATTACCAGGTAATAAAAAAATATGTAGCAAAAATATCATGATTTAAAAGTTTGTGAGAAGTTCATATGAACAAAAGCTGAATGGAAATACTCTAAAATTAAAATAGTGGTTGGCCCAGAGTGGTAGAATTATGATTTTTATTTTTTTCTAAACTATGACTTGATTCCATTACTTTTATATATTTTTTAAAATTGCCTTAAGCCAAGCAATGCAATGAGAGCCACCATAACTGTATTGGCTCCTGATCATGTCTTTTGTCCTCCTTGCATGGACTTTTAAACAAATGGGTGTATTTTAAATAAGTGTGTACTATTTTTAAAAAGATAATTATTGCCCTAGCCAGTTTTGCTCAGTGGATAGAGCGTCGGCCTGCGGACTGAAAGGTCCCAGGTTCGATTCCGGTCAAGGGCACATGCCCAGGTTGCAGGCTTGATCCCCAGTGCGGGGTGTGCAGGAGGCAGCCGATCAATGATTCTCTCATCATTGATGTTTCTATCTCTCTCTCCCTCTCCCTTCCTCTCTGATTAAAAAAATATAAAAATTAAAAAAAAATTTATTGTAGTCTTCCTGAGCTGCATACAGGCAGGTGAGAAGATGAGGCAGAGGTCGGGGAATATGACCTGCTTCACAAACCAGCCCCATCTTCCCACTGCCCAGGTAGTAGGAAGTGGAGACTTTCAGCGCATTGTAGGGAGGATCCAGCGTCCTCCTACTAAAGCCTAGAGCAGAGGTCCTCAAACTTTTTAAACAGGGGGCCAGTTCACTGTCCCTCAGACATTCCACACATGCGCACTGCAGGCCCAGGACGAGTCGGCTGCTAAGCAGGACAGGCAGCGGCGGCAAAAACACCCGGCGGGCCGGATAAATCTTTTCGGCGGGCCGCATGTGGCCCGTGGGCCGTAGTTTGAGGACGCCTGGCCTAGAGATTTGCCTCCAGCTCCCATTCCTTTTCCTTTCTGCACAGCACCTCTTTTTCAGTTGGAATGCTACCCTTTTCTCACAACTACTCCACCTGCTCAGGTGAGGCTCTACCCTTCCAGGGGTGGGGAATGAGATTCAGGACAGACCAATCAAAGTGCAGCATCTCTATGGACCCAGGACTGGTTCAGGGATGGCCCAAGATCCAAGTCAGTTGAATGAGAGTGAATGTCATGGTTTTTTTAGGAGCTAGCGGAAAGGCTATCTGCTATTTCCTGCTGGGCTTGCACCTGGAAGAATTTTTAATTGCTCTAAATACCAACACATGGAGCCTGAGCGTGAGTATAAATGACAAAACCAGAGATGAGAGAAGCAGAAAAAGTGGGTCTGGTGACATGGTTTGAGCCCTTGTATCTCGCCATGCTTTTTAATCATTGGAGCCAATAAATGCCTTGTTTCCTGAAGCCAGTTGAGGCCAGATGTTCTGTTTTTGTTTTGTTTTGTTTTGTTTTATAATCCAAAGAGATCTAAACGACACAGCAGGCAAATAGAGACAGCCACTGGATTGTCTCTTTCTGGATAGTCTCTAAGAAGAAAGGGCCAAAGAGCCTTCCAGCTGGAAAGGGGAATGAGTCATAAGTGGGCACGGGGAAAGAACCCACTTTCATCCTAGTAGGAAGCCAAACAGTCAGGAGTGGCTTAAGGATTTAGGCTAATCCTCAGGTGAAGGCACAAATCCAGCCATATGGCTCCTAAAGGCAGCACATCTATGTGTTTGTAGGTGACCGGGCAATAATGAAGTCTATCCTGTCACATGCAACAAACAAGGAAGAACCCAAAGAGCATGATTTCATCTCTAGGCCCTACACAATGGGAAACTCTATAGAGTTCTACCACAGCCAATTTCTGAAAAGTGAACGTGTTCACTTTTCTCCAAGTATCTAAAACCTCTGCAGCTTTAATTCTTTCCTTGCTCTGTCATCTCACATTCCCTTCATGGTTTCTTCCTGCGTAAGTGTATGTACCAAAACACTTTGCTTAGCATGACCTTTTCCCCTCCCCGTGACCAAGACACATGGAGAGCTGCCACACTGCGTGGGTTCTGGACGTGAGACAAATGTTACTGTACATTTTTCTGAGGAACAAACCGACTTCTACCCTAGAAGAGTGAACATGACACTAAACAAGCAGCAGTTGGCAGGTCTGGGAGCTGTGAACTGTTCCATGAACCACATTTAGCAAACTAATGATTAGCTTCCACTTCTTCGGGCTCTGTAACCAAAGGAATATTGTGTAACATTACAGAGAGAAGAGTCACATTACAGCCGGCTAAAGGGCTTTTTATAGCACTGATGAGGCAAGGCTCATAACTTGAGCACGTCCATTTTAATTCAGTTAATATCCCAACTAAATTGAAGACAGCCTCCCAAGCTAGCTCATTTTCAGAAAGTGCCGCCGATTTCCACACCTCCCTACCAATGCTCCACTCACTCACAGAAGATTCTGGGTAGCCTCTGAACAAGAGGCAGAGATAAGATGCAAAACTTTCTTCAGAACTCAGTACTTGTCTCCCCACCATGTCTCTTGACGATTACAGTGCTTAGTAAAACTGCCCTAAGCCAGAGGAGCAGTGCAACGAACAAAAAAGCATCATGTGGGTAAAGCAAAACGAGTGGACTTCTTCCTTTACTTACTCCCACATGATTTGGAAAAACAGGAGACACAGACTGAAAGCAGTGTTTACAGGGAGAGGTGCTCCTAGAACTGTCACACCAGGTCAGTCTCAAGACCCATGTAGTCCACTGTTGTGTTGCTGACAAAAACACGAGGGACCATGTGGAAGAAATATGAGGAAAGTCACCTATGTACTCCTACATTTCCTAATAATACATTTAACATGTGCAAATTAAAACTTTTTCCTTTAATTGAGAAGGTAATATATGCACCTGGTAAAAAACAACAACAGTCAAGCAAAACAAATAGATATACATTATTAAGCCTTTCCTATGCTAGAGGCAACTGCTAATATCAGTTTTGTATGCATATGCTCTCTCTAAAAGTATAAACAAGCAAAACAGGAATACATACAGCTTTTTAAAAAATATGTTTTTATTGATTTTAGAGAGAAAGGAAGAGGGAGCGAGAGAGAAATATCTCGCATATGAACCCTGACCAGGGACTGAACCTGCAACCTGGGCATGTGCCCTGACCGGGAATAGAACCTGTGACTTCCTGCTGCATGGAAAGACACACTGGCTGGGGGACAGTTCGATGATTTTTGATAAATGTAAATAATCATGTAACCATCACCACAAAATATAAATAATTTCCATCACCCCCCAAAAAATTAGCCTGTGCCCCTTTTATAGTCAATCCCCTCCCTCCAACTCCAGCCCCTGGCATCCACTTTCACATACACAGTATTTCTGAAATCCATTCAAGTTGTTATATGTAGAATCCTTTTATTACTGAGTAGTATCCAATTTCACTGATATGCCATAATTTGTTCATCTATTCACTAGCTGCTGGGCATTTATGTTGTTTTCAATTATTGGCTGTAATGAATAAAGCTTCTATAAATATTTTAATACAGTTTTTATATGGACTACATTTTCATCTCTTGGGTAAATACCTAGCAATATAACTGAGTAAAAGTGTGTCATTAGAATAAGAATGTTTAACTTTATCGGAGACTGCCAAATTGTTTTCCAAAATAGTTGGGCCATTTGCATTCCCACCAACAATTTGAGAGTTGCTTCACATCTTTGTCAACACATGATATCGTCATGTGTTTAGTTTGGAAAATCAATGATTCTCTCATCATTGATGTTTCTATCTCTCTCTCCCTCTCCCTTCCTCTCTGATTAAAAAAATAATAAAAATTAAAAAAAATTTATTGTAGTCTTCCTGAGCTGCATACAGGCAGGTGAGAAGATGAGGCAGAGGTCGGGGAATATGACCTGCTTCACAAACCAGCCCCATCTTCCCACTGCCCAGGTAGTAGGAAGTGGAGACTTTCAGCGCATTGTAGGGAGGATCCAGCGTCCTCCTACTAAAGCCTAGAGCAGAGGTCCTCAAACTTTTTAAACAGGGGGCCAGTTCACTGTCCCTCAGACATTCCACACATGCGCACTGCAGGCCCAGGACGAGTCGGCTGCTAAGCAGGACAGGCAGCGGCGGCAAAAACACCCGGCGGGCCGGATAAATCTTTTCGGCGGGCCGCATGTGGCCCGTGGGCCGTAGTTTGAGGATGCCTGGCCTAGAGATTTGCCTCCAGCTCCCAATCCTTTTCCTTTCTGCACAGCACCTCTTTTTCAGTTGGAATGCTACCCTTTTCTCACAACTACTCCACCTGCTCAGGTGAGGCTCTACCCTTCCAGGGGTGGGGAATGAGATTCAGGACAGACCAATCAAAGTGCAGCATCTCTATGGACCCAGGACTGGTTCAGGGATGGCCCAAGATCCAAGTCAGTTGAATGAGAGTGAATGTCATGGTTTTTTTAGGAGCTAGCGGAAAGGCTATCTGCTATTTCCTGCTGGGCTTGCACCTGGAAGAATTTTTAATTGCTCTAAATACC